ACACCATCACCGAAGCCACCATCACCTGGGAAGCCTGGGCCACTATCACCTGGGAAGACCGGGCCATTATCACCTGGGAAGAAGCCTGGGCCATTATCACCTGGGAAGAAGCCTGGGCCACTATCACCTGGGAAGACTGGGCCACGATCACCTGGAAAGAAGCCTGGTCTACCATCATCTTGGAAGCCTATTTGGCCGCCTACACCACCGACACCGCCGTTGCCACCAGTTCGGCCGTTGTTGCCACCGATGACACCAGTTCGGCCGTTGTTGCCACCGATGACACCAGTTTGGCCGTTGTTGCCAACGATGCCAGCGGTACCGCCGGCACCGGCGCCGCGGAAGCCGCAGCCTCGCTTGCCCTGGTCAAAGGCGGCGTTGCGGGCGGAGCAGACGGCGGCGTTGTTGAGGCCGGCGCAGCAGCCCGATCTGCAGTCGGCGTCGGAGATGCAGGCTCCTTGATTGGACTGTTTACCCTGGCCGTTGACGATGTTGGCGGCACCGGCGGCGTTACCAGCGGCGTTACCGGTGGCGTAGGCGGATAGAGCGACTGCGGAGAAAGGTTCCGGGTTAATCTTATGATATTGATAGGGAAAAAGGTCGTTGGTCGAGGATGGAGAGGGGGGGGGAGACTAACAGGTAAGTACAGAGGCAACTATAAGGCGGACCATTTTTCTAGTTATTATAGTATATTGTGAGATTGGGGGGGAAAGGTCAGGTGACTACCAGGTTAGTCAATGAATTTGAAAATGAAAATGAATAATACTAGGTCATAAAGGGCGAAAATAGTTTATAAAGATAAAAGCGTTAATCTGTGTATGATAATGAGAAAGTGTCTGTCTAAGGCTGGGATGAGACTATACTTATACCTCTTAAGCCTATAGTTTCCCAAGGTTGGAATAACTCTTCTGACTTTGTTTTCCCCTTATCGCTACCCTATCTTTCTTTATTTAGTCATGCAACAAAAGCTTAAGCTGGCTATGCAAGGACAGACAGATAGACACCTCGCTAGCGACGAAGCCTTCCCGCACTCTAGAGTATATCCTTATTCGAGGGCATAGAAGGGTGATTAGAAGCATGCCTATCCAAGGAAGTCTAGGTCGCATAACTGTCGCAAACAGTTTCCGGCATTGTATAACAGGTGTTACACTCGATTCAAGCAGTAGGCACGTCGGAAAGAATACTACACACATGTAATAAGGAATACTAATATAGAATAGTATCTACTTACCTTATATAGTAATACAATAAATAGACTATTAATTCTATTAACTATAAGTTTAGTCTAGAATAGAGGACTTATCATTAACCTAATAACTTACTAGTTATATCTAAACTATTAAGTAGTTAGGACTAGATAGGTCTAATGGTAAAGGTAACGTTTAAATGACTTATAAAAGAGGTGATGAGGCCTCTGCATTGACTCTCCAGTTTATTAAAACACTAGCTACGTGCTGTATCAAAACTTTGGCTGTCTGAAGTAAGTAGTCAAGCTTAGTAGTGTCTAAGTCATGTCGACATGTAGCTTTCGACTAAGACCGCGACTCGCTTACATATATACTAGTATCTCCTGATTCATGTAGGCCTTGGATGTTCCTTTTTGTTTCATCTACACTTGACACTTAGTCTATTTTATTGTTCTTCAATGATCGCCGCCTCGTTCGCTTATCGTACCTAGTGTTATTATTACTAACGGGACTGAGACTAACCTACGACAGCAACTGACTCGAAACTCTGAGACGAGGCCTCCCGCGTTTCGAGACCACATCGCTACCTTAGTCATGTAGGTTTAAGAATCAAGTATATATAGTCGTAGTCGTAGTCAGTAAAAATGATGAGTCAAGTAAGCATTATAGATATATACTACTGGAAAGTGTATGATAGGCAGGCTTAAGCAACGTTGGCCGAGGCTTACAACTAAATAATGAACTAGATTAATGTAGAAGCACTACCGTAGCTAAAATGATATGTAGATATACTACTGCTATACTTTTGTCTTAACTTATAAAAGTATACTAACTAGCGTAGCCTAACACTCCTCTTCAACGAAAGCTCATTTACTATCCTCATGACACGCTACGTGGCGTTTACGATAGTATAGTAGATGAAAAAAAAAATGCATTGCTGACTACTACTACTGTTATACTACTAGTTTTAAGATTTATTAAATATCTACTTTGCCTTTATAAATTAGATATCTCTTCTTATTATAAGACTATTTAGTGAGTAGAGTATAATATCTAAATTTTACTATAGTTTTACTACCTTATTAGAGGTAATTATTAGTATAACTACTTGGATGTTGCCGATAGCCTACTAGTAGACGGGCGATGTTTTTTCGCCCCCAGCGGCAGCAAGGGGTGTGCTGTGGGCCCACGCCTAATGACACGCCTATGGCCTTTGTCCAATAGCATCATGGCAAACGCGTCGCAACTCTGGCGAGTTTTGACAGATTGCGCTTCCACTTTCTTGCTTGCGCAGCGCAATCTGACGAGTTGTCATCAACGAATGGGCGGTGCAACCCAATTGTGTACCAGCCGTCCCGAAATCTCTTCCTGTTCAGACGCCCTCTGGTGGCCCCTCGAACATATATACGAATTAATTAATGGCCGGATCCGATGCGACGACCGCGCGGCACTCGCCTGAACCCGAGGAGGCGCATGAGCTTGAAGCTGGCCTTTTGGAGAAAAAGACGAAGCTGCCGCTTGCGCAACCCCGATTATTGACCCAGGTCACACTCATCACCGAGAAACTTCATCCGGCATTTTACATTGCGTGAGTGGCATCAAAGCCTGCAAGAGGCGGCTTGCCCCGACTAAACTGTTACTAGCTTCTGGATAGCAACCAGCTCAGGCGTCATTTTGTTCAACAAATGGGTTCTTGCTGCTGCAAACTTTCGTGAGTCCAGATTTAGGTTGTATGCTGTTCGTTCTAACACCATATTATAGGCTTCCGTCAGTTACATCTCGGTGCTGCTCATACAGCCGTGCGCAAACTAATACTTACTCTCTGCTAGCACTATTCTTGACAACATGGCACATGACATTTGCCGCTGCCATGACGCAGCTCATGGCTCGCTATACAACTTTGCTAGATTCGCGACACAAGGTGCCCATGGACTTTGAGATTTACAAGCGAGCGATTCTGCCCATTGTCATTTTATTCAGTCTGAGCCTGATTGGAGGCAATCTAGCCTATCTCTACCTTAGCGTCTCTTTCATCCAGATGCTCAAGGTATGGCCACTGATTAGCTTGATGGGAATTTATACTGACTCTTATAGGCGTCCAACGCGGTGGTGACACTTTTGGCTACCTGGGCATTCAAGATTGTGCCACCCAACTTCAAGGTGCTCGGCAACGTGTCTCTCATTGTGCTCGGAGTCGTCATTGCTTCCTTTGGCGAGATTCAGTTTCATGCACTGGGGTTTTTATGTAGGCAACAGTCACTTAACCGTTGATGAGACTCACATGGAGCGATATCTAACATCAAGTTTACAGTTCAAGTCTGCGGCATTATTTTCGAGGCTCTGCGCCTCGTCATGGTCCAGAGACTACTCAGCTCGCCAGAGTTCAAGATGAGCCCCATGGTCTCTCTGTACTACTACGCCCCAGCCTGTGCGGCCATCAACGGTGCCCTGATGGCTGTTGTCGAAGTCCCGCGCATGAGACTGGCCGACTTTTCCAGTGTCGGCATTCCATTGTTCATCGTCAATGCTTGCGTCGCATTTTTACTAAACGTCTCGACGGTTCTCTTGGTACGTTGCTTCAGCACAAGTGCACTATTCTTTCAGCTCCCTAACTCTCTGCCAAGATCGGCAAAACTTCTGCCGTTGTCTTGACCATGTCTGGCATACTCAAGGACATTCTGTTGGTGGCTTCGTCGATACTGCTCTTTGGAGACCCCGTCACTGGCCAGCAATTCGTTGGCTACTCGATTGCACTCGGCGGTCTGGTCTACTACAAGCTTGGCAGTGAGACGCTGAGTGCGATTGCCAAAGAAACGACCTTGGAGGTTAACGATATCCGGCAAAACCACCCTGCGAGGCTCAGATACGTTCTTTTCGCTGCTGCGTTATTTATGTTCTGCCTGCTGTGGGTATCTTTGCGCACGAATGCGCCGTGACGAGCTGGACTCTTCGATTGCATACTTTTCCACGTTGGCACGTCGGCTAGACTCTGTTTCAAAGTGTATACTCTTTGCATTATTTCTATGATTGTCGGCGTTGAGCATATAGATTTGGCAGGTTTTGAATTGATATACATTGGGAAGATGCCGCTGCGTACAAGGTAGCACTCTGGCAAAGTTTTTTTTCGTAGTTAGACGACGAGATGTTTTTTGTATAAGTCATCGGATAATGCCTTCATAAAGCGCGTTGCGGGCATGTGCTTTTGTCAAAGTAGAAATTAAATTGATTATAAGGTAATGCTCTAAATACACCATCTCTAGATTTGTAGTAGGTATAAAAATGATCTTGAGGTACTACCCTGAATACACTCCATCTATATGTTTTGTGCAGAGTGCAAACTCGGCCACCATGTGGTAACTTGGCGGTGCAATTTGAGTCTCTTGCGTATACTTTTGATAATATCCGACCTGAAGACATTAAAATGCAGGCATGCCAATGGCAGTATCCCAGTCAACATTGTCATACTTGGTCTCGATACGGTCCTTGCATGTGCCAAAGACAACGTCCCACAGACGGGTTTGCTTGCCGTAATTGCCACTCTTCTTCCAGCCCTTTCGGTGGTGGAGGTCATGGTCCTCAATGACGAGCTCAGAGTTGAAGAATTTGAGGATCCAAGTAAAGGTGCTCGGCGGACTGGCAAGCAGACGCAGGCCGCTATGGCCAGCGAGCTCGGCAAACACGACGTACTGGTGGCAGAACCACCATTCGTAAAAGCTCATGGGAAATCCCATGAGCTTCATCGTGGCCCAGGCCATGATGGGGATACCCGCAATATCAAAAATCTCCTGCTCAGTGTCGGCGTAGAGGGTGAGCAGCGGATTCGGATGCTTGGTCAGGTGATGGGTGCGGTGGTACTTCCAGAGAAAGGACACATCGTGCATGAGACGGTGGTACCAGTAGAACCAAAAGTCGAGAATGATGCTGTAGAAGCCAATCTCAAAGGGCAGCCAGGCCCAGTTGACGTCTTGCGGGGCGACGGCGGCGCGGTAGCTCAGCAGCACGGTAAAGACGGGCCGCGAGATGGAGGTGTAGATCAAGGAGAGAAAGACTTTGATGACGCCGACGTCGGGGATGCCGTCGCGGTCGTGCTCGTCGCCGTCGAGGAAGCCGACTCGCTGGCCCATGGTGCGCATGGTCTTGAGCTGGCGGATGGCGTTGAACTTGAAGGCGGCCGAGTAGAGGATCAGGGTGGCGAGGGGGCTGAGGTTGTGGCCCGTGTACATAAAGTAGATTTGCTGAATGGCGACGGGGACGGCGGCGTGGGTGAGGATCCAGCGGTGCATGACGAGTTCGGGGACGTAGGGCATCTTGTCGGATTTGACGTGGATGGGGACGGGCGTCTCGAGATCGATGAGGTGGAGGTTGAAGAGCTCGTAGAACCAGTGCGCAAGATTCCACTGGCTGCGGTCGGCGGTTCGCCATGTCGACTTCATTGAGTCCTTGGGGTTGCGCTCGACAGTCGCCATGGTGAAGGGAAGAGGCGAGTAACAAAGTAAGGTTTTGTATACTTTTCTTCCCTCTTTGTGATTTACCCTCTTTGTGATTTAACCCTCTTTATAGGTTACCCTCTTTATAATTATGAAATGTAGTTAATTGTCGTGTAGAAAACATGGTAGGATGGCCAGTAAGTTGGGTAAAAGGGCTGTTTTGTGGTTTTATTGTGCATTTCACGGTTCACGGACCCTCCTCCACAACACCCCCTCACACTATTGTGCCGGCTGAAGAAGCCATTACTCCTCTCGGTAAAGGGCCTCGTCGATGGCGAATCCGTCACATGGAAAGCTTCAAATTCTCGCATGATGACTGGCAGAACGATAGGTCCCCTTGCAGCGACCCCGCCAGCAGCTGGGGGGGGGGGGATTTCTGGGTAAGGGCAGGTTTTCGAGGCACAACCCCGCATTCTTGGACAACAACCCTCGGCCTATTCGGAGGGGATAAGCTTGTGATTGGGGTGGGTTTGGTGTGTAAACTCGGCAAAGGTTGGCCATGGCAAAAAAAGTCTAATAACGGGGGATGTGCTGAAAGTGGAGTCGGCGGAAATGCAGCTTCCGCCTCGCGTTGTTGCACGTCATGGCGCGTGTCAGCTGTGCGTTTAATTATTAAAAGATTAGAAATATATTAGTTTATTCGCAGGTACCTAGTATGTAAACGGCGTCTCCGGCGTGCCATTGGCGGCGTTCATTGATCTGTTGACTACACCACCCACTGTAGCATGGCAGCGTTGGCGCACATGTCCGATAATGTAGGGATGAACCATTACGCAGATCAAAGTGCACTTGTTGTATCAGCTTTCTTTGGGAATAATACAGTACAATCGTTGCGTTTTCTTTAAAAAAGGCTACTTTACTTGTTTAATAGCTGCCTTTTCTTTTTTCTCTCTCTCTTCCCCGCCTATACAAGTCCCTTTTGGAAGAAGTCACAACCCCCCACCTCGACATGAGAAGCTCGGCTTTAAGCCAAAAACCAACAGAGTAGCTCCACGCTCTTCACTGCAGGTTGCTGCATCCACTTGTGCCAGCCATCTACGACAAGGCATCGAGTAGCGCAGATCAATCAGCCTAGGATATTTAAAACATTATAAGTCGCATGCCTCCTTTGCCCGTGAATGACGGAATGAACAATGTTAGTTTTAACAATGATAATTATCGTAAAGGCAATCAGTCTTGATTCGTGTTATCAATCATTATCCTACAAGTCAGTCACGCAAGAGCATCATATAAATTAAAGTGGAGACTTCATGACTCCCAGGCAATGAGAATTGAGTGCACTCAGTCAATATGCACAACAAACAATATATTGATTGAAAAGGCGATTGCGTTGCCGGTTTCCCTAACCTCTTTTTTTCTGTGGGTATATTTCTGGACGTATTGTGCTCTCGACCCAAATCTGTGCTTCGCTCAGCACAAGTGGCCAATTCGCCGACGCTCCGTCTATACTCAAATGCTTACTTTACTGCTTCATCTTGACTCGGCAAACCGAGACGACAACATGGATCTACTAAACAAACAAAAGCCGGAGTTGCGATGAGGTCGTGACAGGTGGCGTAATATTCAGCGTCCAATTAACCTAGAATTATCAGATGTTGCAACATTTGCCGGCGGGATGCCCGCGATGCCCGCTTCCTAGCGTCGGTGATTGACAACCAATTCCCCGACCCCCACCGCCTCCCCCTTTGAAGCCCCGACTTCAACTTTTTTTGTTGATGATGCCAGATTTGTGCATCAATTCAGGTTTGCAATGGCCGTCTAGCATTTCAGCATGGCAGACAAGGAAGGCCTTGTCCTCCCCGTGTCGGAGCGCGACACGCACAATGCTCTCAGCGACAACTCGACTGCGGTCAAGGAACCTTCAATTGCCGAGTCGGTCTGGATATCATCTTCCATGTCCAAGACCAGGGAGATGCTCTTTGTTGGAATTGTCTGTATGGCTCAATTCTGTACTCGTAAGTTTTGCGCCTTGTTACCATCTTACCATCTTATCATCTTGCCATCTTACCATCTTACCATTCTCACACTTGACCATTGTTACTAATTTGCGTGTCAATACAGAGGCTGCCTACATGGGGACCTTGGTCCTCTTGCGAAAAATCGGCCGTAGCTTTGGCGTTGCAGACCCTGCCCAGCTGGCGTGGCTCGTTGCCGGCTACTCCCTGACAGTCGGCACTTTCATCCTCATCTCTGGCCGACTCGGCGACATTTTTGGCTACAAAACCATGCTCATTGTCGGCTTCGCCTGGTTCTCGCTCTGGTCGCTCGTATCCGGCCTGAGCGTCTACTCCGACTTTACCCTCGCCGTCTTCTCGCGCGTCCTGCAAGGCATAGGCCCCGCGCTGTGCCTGCCCAACGCCCTGGCCATTCTGGGCTCGGCGTATCCGCCGGGGAGCCACCGCAAAGCAATGGTGTTTGCGTGTTTTGGCGCGGTGGCCCCGATTGGGGGCGTGTGCGGCGGCGTCTTTGGGTCCTTGCTGGCCATGGCCTGGTGGCCGTGGGCGCTCTGGGCCATGGCCGTCTGGCTCGCCGTGTTGGCCGTGGCGGCATACTTGATTATCCCGAAGCCGCCTCAGCGAAAGGAGGAGCCTCGCTCAGTGCGCGCGTGGATTGTGGCTCTGGATGCGCCTGCGGCTGTCGTGGGCGTTACGGCTCTGATTCTCTTCAACTTTGCCTGGACGCAGGCACCCATCAGCGGCTGGCGTACCCCAACAGTTATTGTGCCGCTTATACTTGGCTTACTGCTCTTTGCGGGGTTTGCATACATGGAGCTCAAGATGAGCGAGCATCCTCTTTTGCCGTTTGATGCGTTCAAGCCTGACATTTGCTTTGTTCTCGCTGCACTCGTCTGCGGTTGGGCCACCTTTGGTATCTGGACTCTGTACCTGGTCCAAATTCTGGAAGATGTTCGTGGTCTATCGCCAGTCCTTACATCAGTGTACTTTGCGCCCGTTATTATTGCCGGCGCAGTCGCTGCTTTCATCACGGGCAAACTCTTGGGCCCGCTGCAGGTCCGCCCGGCATTGGTCATGATGATGGCGTTGACAGCATTTACCATTGGCATCATATTGACCTCATTCGCCCCTGTTCATCAGATATATTGGGGCCAGATTTTTGTTTCCATGCTTGTAATGCCCTTTGGCATGGACATGAGCTTCCCCGCAGCGACATTGACACTGTCTAATGCAGTGGCGAAACAACACCAAGGCATCGGGGCTAGTCTGGTCAATACTGTTGTCAACTACGGCATCGCACTAGGCGTCGGTATTGCTGGAACCGTCGAAGTCAACGTACGAGGGCCGTCCGACTCATCCGACGATCGCTTCAACGGGTTTCGCTCAGGCTTGTATACAGGGATTGGTTTAGCTGGAGTGGGCATGGCAACATGTGTTGTATTCTTGTTTAAACGGCACAATGTGCACCAAGATGCACAAGCTGTCAACCTTTGTAGTCACTAGCGGCGCATTTGGACCGAGTGCTTTTTATATATAGATTCAGAGGGCATAGACTTTAGACAATAGGGCGGAATGTAAATAAGAATAAATACATATAAGAGGAAATAAATATAAAAGGAAATATAATAAGAGGAAATATAAATAAGAGAAAATATAAATAAGAGAAAATATAAATAAGAGTAGAAATATAAATAAGAGAAAATTTGAATAAAATTAAATATAAATAAGAGGAAATATAGATAAGAGGAAATATAAATGAAAAAAAATATAAATAAGAGTGGAAATGTTGGAGTATTATATTGTATAAACGAATGCCTAGCCAACCAACCCCACTAAGCCTGATCACCATCCTGAACCGAAACCTGCAGTCATTCACCGAATTTTCTTAGTTTTGAATATTTCGTGAGTCAAAAAAAGCCTTCTTTCTACACGACAGTCATTTTATAGATTAGGCATCTGCTAAATTGAAGAGTCGCTGCTGGTGCTTAAGGTGTGACTCACTGGTGGATATGGCCTATGATCCTTCTGAAACCCGCCCAAGATCAGCATAACCACGCTTATTACTTTTGGCTGAGCTTCACCTCTTGCCTCTGCATATACTTTAAAAAGACGTAAACCCTGAAATTTTCTGCGATACATTGTCGCAATTCATCCATCATCCTAGCATCCTTTTTCTGCATTTCTCTGAGCGTTCTGCGAGCCTTGACGAGCACACCACTTGGGCGTCAACCCCGTCTTGAGTATCATCTTCATCATCCAGGCAACCACCCAGTTTCATCATGGAGACAACATTAGAATCTGACCCACAATCGAAATTCTATGCGTCGTCGCATGACACAGCACTATGCATCATCCCTCCTCAATGCCATTGGCCAGCCATCAACCAGCTGCGAAGACTCAACGACAAGGCCTACGCCAAGTGGCCACCACACATCAACCTTGTCTATCCCTTTGTGCACCCCAGTGCTGTCCAAGACGCTGCCACGACTCTTGTTCAGCTCGATTTTCTGTCTAGTCTACTTCCACGACGGGTCTGTCTCTCAGATGCGGACGTCTTTGTGCACGACAAACACAGGACGCTGTATTTGAAACCAAATGACACAGCAGCGACCGACTTGCTCAGGCTTGTGAACAAGGTCCGCTTGTCACTAGGCTGGTCGGCACAGTTAGAATATCATCCTCATTTGACTGTTGGTCAGAGCGACGAGGCATGCTCGAGTACACATGATTTCCTAATGCATAAAGCCCGTCTGCTGACACCAGTGTCTTGGGATGCGCCACAACTTGCCATTATGGTCCGCGATACTTGCCGAGATGCCGCGGATGGGCTTCGGCGGATGAAGCTCTGGAAACGTTTCAATGTTGAATCAAGAGACTGGGTCGAGCTTGCGCTTCCTCGGGACGAACTTGTCTTTGTCGACGATAAGAATGGCCACTCTCAGGCCTCTAGAGCATATGCGCAGCCTGCTTATCAGTGGCACCCAAGCAATGGAATCTGGAAGATTTTTGATGCTTCATCGCTGAAGCCAAGTTCAAACGTCCTGACTTCTCTCATTGTTGCTACTTATAATGTTCACGCCGAGGTTCATTGGCCGCCCGACACGTCGAGGAATTCGGCTCTCATTGCCAACCTCTTATCCCGACGTGCCGAAGCTGATGTACTCGTCCTAGAAGAAGTGTCTGACCACTTTCTTCCCGACCTCCTCAGAGACAAAGTCGTTTGCGCCAAGTACCCTTACTGTACTCATGGCCCGCCTGATCAGCCTGGGATTGGCCCTCTCCCCAGTCTCCTCAATATTGTAATTTTGAGCAAGTTTCCACTGTCATGGAAATACCTCCCGCTCCACCGCCGACACAAAGGGTCTGCGGTCGCGACGTTTCCGACCATCTCGTTTTTCGCTCCTCTGTCCGAGGCCATTACCGAGCCGCTCATCGTCGTGGGCTGTCACTTGAGCCAGGGCCTGACGCATGACGCCCTCTCGTCTAAAAAGGCCCAAGTTTCAAGTTTGCAGCAGCATCTCCATCAAAAGTACAACAAGAACCCGTGCATAATTGCCGGCGACTTCAACGTGACAACCTCCTCCTACACGATTGACATGGCGCAAAGAGGTGGCGCTCTCTCCAAGAATGGTAGACCGTGTCTAGACGATACCCACGATGTGCTATCCAAAAGTGGGTTCGACGATGCCTGGTTAGCTACGAAACTGACAACCGGTGAATCGTCCGAGGTGGTGCTAGCCAACGAGGCCATCATGGATCTCTACGAGGGAGAGCAAGGTGCCACATTCAATCCGCTCGAGAACAAGTTGGCTAAAAAGCTCGTCGGTGGTGGAGCATTAGACAAACGACCTCAACGCTACGATCGCATTCTGTATAGTTTGCAGCTCCCTCTACGACCTGCTGCTTTCAACATGTTTGGCAAAGATGTCATGACGCAGATTGCTGATCAAAGCTTGGTCCACGCTAGTGATCACTGGGGTATCCGTTGTCTTTTTGCGGAGAAGAACACGCGTACTGGTGTTTCCGTGGGCAGCATCTTGGATCGTGTAAAGGCTATCGAGCTGACCAAAGCCGCGGATTCCTTGGGTGGGTTTGAAGACCTCAAGCGGGCATTGCTTGCCTGTGGATATGTGCCAACCACAAGTGAACAAGGGACAAGGAGGCAAGCAATTACCATTTTGGAAAATGTCTTGCTGGGCATTGACCAGGCAAAGCCGGAGAAACAAGGTCGCGGACATGTTGGCTTGATCCTCGTTCCAGTAGGCTCATACGGTCTTGGTGTGTGGACGAGCTCCGACCATGTCGACTGCCTCTGCATTGGGACGATGAGCTCCAAGACATTTTTCCGCATGGCCCTTCAGCGCCTGAGAAAGGCCTCTGATGGAGGAATGCGCATATTGAGAAAGGCCTCGACCAGCACTGGCACCATGCTAAAGCTCCAGATTCTTGGCATCAAATTTACTCTTCATTACTGCGCCGCCACCTCCATAGTAGAAAAGTAAGAACTTGTTGTCTACAGACGTGCTCGATCATTACCTGACTACTAGCAGATATCCTCGGGTTATGAACTTGCCCTCCGACCACCCCGAATTCGCTCTCCCCGTTCAGACCTTGGCCAAGCTAAAGCCCGCCAGGGACCTGTACTACCTTTTGCGTTCCATCCCTGATCTGGCCAAGTTTAGAGTTGCTTTCCTTTTCATCAAGGCCTGGGCCAGCTCGCGCGGCATCTACGGCGCCCGGTTCGGTCTCTTAAGCGGCATCCACATTACGGTTCTGCTCGTCCCCATCTGCAAGCAGCTTGCAGCCATCTCAATGGCTGTGTCGACAACGGACATTCTCACTACATTTTTTAGCCACTATGCCGATCTTGAATGGGAAACGCATGTTGTATTAGATCCATTCTATCATAGAGAGCTACGCTATCACCGGACGTCGAGGGAGCCTTTCTGTCTCTTGGGGTGGCATGCGCCAGCTTTAAATACCGCCATGGCTGCTTCGACACCTACTGTCAAGTCAATCGCCGCTGAACTCTCCAAAGCGAATTCTCTATTGTCCCAACCAGGTGCAACTTGGGGTACTATTCTTGGTCCTGCCAGTACAGCAGCCTCCGGGGTGCGCGATTTCCTCCAGAACTTCAAAAGCTATGTCAAGATTGATGCCCGATTTTGGGGACCGTCTCCTTCGAGCGGCCGCAAGTTTCTGAGCTGGTTGGAGTCGCGCTGCGTTGCGGTTCTAGCTGGTCAGTCGAGACTATTCTCCAATATTTCGGCAATAAATTGTCTTGACTAATTCCATTTGACAGACATGACTAGAAAAGCACCATCCCTCCTGCCCCGACTATGGCCTGGGCGATTCATTGACCGCCCCAATACCGATACAGTAACAGGCTCGGAGTATCACTGCTTTTATCTCATCGGCCTAGCGTGGAACAGCGAAGACGGTGACCGCGCCAAAGACGACGCCAAAGCCACCAAGTTGGTCATCGACGGCCTTTCAAACGACTTCGAAAATAGAATACGCAGTGATGCCAAATATTACGACGCCGATTCTTGCTGGATGGCCGCCAGCGTTGTCAACACTTCCGATATTGCCTCGGCGGTTCTCGACCCAGATTATCTCGATGACGCCGACGTAGCATTCGATGATTTTGAGGAAGATGATGTCGACAGCAGTTCTGACGGGGCAGACGAGGACGAAGAACCAGCTCTCGATAGCAGCGACGACAAAGCAGGTTCGTCGCACGCCAAGTCACGCCGTGCCGCCACTCGCCATGTAAAGCTCAATGTGCCCACGTCCGTCAAGCCCGAGGACATGGGTAGGTTCCGCCCGGCGTCCGATGTCCTCAACCGGCTGCGCTGGGACCGTGCCCTAGACGCTGATGACTTCATCGTTGGTTTCGAGGATCGCTTCGCGGGGCCTCAGGAAAAGGCGCTTGCGCAGTGGAAGACGGAGCAGACGGACGAGGAGTTCATTCCACAGCACCGCATCCTCTACTTCAAACGACGCAGCGACGACCGCGTTGTCTGGGAGCGCAAGACACGCATTGATCGTATATTCGGCAGTGGTGTGGTAGCCGCAGACAGCGCAGTGGAATAGGCCGGGTAACTGCCGAGAAAATAACGCAAACAAGTGAAAGCTGAAAGAAAGAATCGAATAGGTTTTCTTGGTGATCCTGATTAAGATTCAAGTCTTCTCGCTAGCCAGTAGCAATGAGCCTCAACTTTCCATCCAACTACATCGTCCAGCACGTCTTGCAAAGAGCCACTATTACGTGCTGAGGCTGACGAATACGGCTGCAATAGAAGTCTTATCATGCTTAACATACTTGCCCTTGCCCTTGTCAATCTCATGATAGCGGTCCCAGAAGCGATCATACAGCGGCTGCAGCTTCTGACGAATATCTTGGCCAAACATGCCGCGCACCTCGCGCTCCATGGTATAGGCCCTGTGCTTAGTCACCATGTCGTCAAAGGCGCTGTTGAACTGCTGAAACTTTTCTTTGATCTTGTCCTTGTCCTTGCTGCTAAGGGCCTTGACGACCGTGGCTGAGTCGATGGGGCCGCCCGACTGTGGGCGAGCGCGCTGCGAGGTGTGGATAGTGTCGAAGAGGTAGACAGACAGGTCTTTGCACACGTCCGTGTAGGCGAGCGTCGCCTTTTTACGCCACGGGTCGAGCACTTCGAGGCGGGGTTGCAGAAGCGGTGCCAGGTCGGAGGTCACAATAGAGCGCTGGATGATGACTACGCTGTTGGCGAGGAAGACGCCCTGTGTAGACTTGTTTCGGATCAGGAGACGCATCTTCGAGTCCAGTGACGTGAGGAGCGCCTCTATCATGTCGAGGCAGTAATGTGTGAAGATTTGTTGGCCGTCAGCAGTGACATCGAATGTTGCGAGGCTGGGGATGGCGTCCACACCACGCGCGGAAGCGCCATTCTTCCAGCCGCCGTCGCCAAGTGAAAACATAATGCTGGCCACAGGACGGAGAAACTCCATCATAGCTTGAAGACGCTGCATAGTCTCTGACACGATAGGGAGAGGGGTACCATCATTGGGTAATGTTTGAACGGCACCAATCTTGCGTTTTGTATCCTCGAGAAGTTCTGCCAGTGAGGACTTGGCTGTTTCTCTCACGGGCTTGAGAGCGGCCGCAAGTTGTGTCTTGAGTTCGCCGGTTCTGGTCTCTAGGTTTCCAGACAGCTTTGAAAGAATCTCTGTGACTTCATAGGCGAGGTAGCAATCAGTTGCTAGGTGTTGTTTAATGTGAGCGTTGAGTTCACGCAACGTTCTGGCTAGCTCGGCGAGAGGAGCTTGGCATGCAGCCTGGAACACAGGCCCCCAATCTTCGCGGGCAAATATGCTGCAGACGTTTTCATACTCTGCGGCGAACATGCCTTCCATTGCCAGTGCATATGTTCCGATGCCGTTAGTGCCGGATCTGTAGATGGCTCCGGGGTTCTTCTTCTTCGCTGTATTTACGCTGGCAGCTGCCAGGTTAACCAGAGACGCTGACAAGTATGGCCCGCGAATTTCGGCATAAATTTTCGCAATCGGTGATTCGAATCCGGCTGCTCTTTGGTTGCTTTCAAGGTGTGAATATATGAGGCCGAGCCGCGTGATGGTCTCCTGAGGTAGGACGGGGAACTCCTTTTCTTTGGTAATAAAATGCAATGGCTCGAGTGATCGCGGTGTTTCGTTACGAAGCAGCTTGTCAAAGAATGCTTCTAGTTGCGTATTTCCGTTCTTGATGAGGCGCGTCAAATCAGCCATCGTACTTTGATTTGCCCGCAAATTGGACGCTTGCATGTCGGCATGCGACCTCTGTATACGATTCAATGATCCCAGGTAGGCGGACAGACCAGCCTTTTCGGGGCCAGCCCGAATAATCTGCTCTTCATCATCTTTACTGTCTGCTGGTTTTCGTAGGCGGTCGATTGCGGATATGACGGAGTCGATATCTTATAGAGTCAGCGACGAGTAGGGCGAGGTTCTCGAGAGAGCTTACTTGATCCCAGTATCTGCAATCGCCGAGTCTCGCCACTCAATGGTCCAGCCACATCGCGCACGCTTTGGCCCGTAGCCTCAAGTCTGCCGAGGCATACTTGGATCTTTTTGGTGAGCTGGGCTGTTTTGTCCAGACGTGAATTAAGGACATCAACTTCGGCCCGTGCCTCTTCGTCAACGGCGTTGAGCGACACGTTTGAAGCCAGACCGACAGCCATATTTTCGTAGTCTGATGCGCTTCGCAAATCTGAAATGCAACGACCGGACACGCGATTCGCGCTGCAATCGCAACAATTATAGCTCTTTATCGGGTGCTAAGTTTTGGTCACATCAAACAACAGGAGAGTCAGATGGCTGTTGAGCTTCCAGCTAGAGGTGGGGCGCGCTGGCCAGCCCCCATCGCCGTTGGTCTCCAATGCTTAGTAACCTCATCGGCCCAAATTAATACCCAGCTTGGCGCCCTGCAACCACTTTACGCGTAGTGTCGCGTCTCAACGCGTTTTCGCGTGTCTACTAGACCCTTACCACACACCTCACCCTCCATCCCACATTGTCCCTCTTCGCCAGTCCACTCTGCTGTTGACAAAGCTGTTCCTCTCAGTATATTCACCCACCATGGATCAGTTTATGCTTCAAGATGAGGGCGTTATTGACCGCATTCGCCAAGCGGAGGAGTTTCTGGATCCCAGTAAGCTACCACTAATCCGCGTCCAACGGGCTACGACGATACTAAATGCTATTCTCAGGCGATCCTCATGCGCGAAGCTACAGATCAGACATTATTCTCATGCTGCAGAAGAATCAGCGGCGCTTGACTGTCAACCTCGACCACGTCCGAGATCACAACGAGAACCTCGCAAAAGGCATCCTCGAGCAACCCTTCGACTACACGCTGGCCTTCAATCATGCATTGAAGCAGATTATTGGTGCATTACAACCATCGCAGGCCCGACCCGATCAGCAAGCCGCCGATACCGTCTACTACTGTGCTTGGGCGGGCAGCTTTGGACTGAACGCTTGCAACCCCCGCACACTCTCGTCTCAAAACCTCAATTGCATGGTCTCGCTCGAAGGAATCGTCACGCGATGCTCCTTGATCCGACCCAAAGTTGTCCGCAGTGTTCACTGGAATGAGAAGAAGCAAAAATTCCACTTTCGGGAGTATCAAGACCAGACTATGACGAATGGCGTTACAACGTCAAGTGTCTATCCTCGCGAAGACGACAACGGAAACCCACTGCTCACTGAATATGGCTTTTGTACCTATCGTGATCACCAGACCATTTCCATTCAGGAAATGCCCGAGCGTGCGCCTGCTGGTCAGCTACCTCGTGGTGTTGACGTGATTCTGGACGATGACCTCGTGGATAAGGTGAAGCCTGGTGACAGAGTTCAGCTTGTTGGAATTTTCAGAACGCTGGGTAACCGGAATACCAGTCACAACAGCGCCCTGTTCAAAGCCGTCATTCTTGCCAACAACATTGTGTTGCTCGCTTCCAAGTCTGGTGGTGGCGTCGCTCAGGCCACCATTACCGATACGGATATTCGAAACATCAATAAAATTGCCAAAAAGAAGAACCTTCTTGAGCTTCTGTCACAGTCTTTGGCTCCCAGTATATACGGACATGATCACATCAAGAAGGCAATCCTCTTGATGCTTCTCGGTGGTATGGAGAAGAATCTCGAAAACGGTACTCACTTGAGAGGTGATATCAATATTCTCATGGTCGGTGACCCGTCTACAGCCAAATCGCAACTCTTGCGTTTCGTTCTGAATACCGCCCCTCTTGCTATCGCTACCACCGGCCGTGGTTCGTCCGGTGTTGGTTTGACCGCTGCCGTCACATCAGACAAGGAGACTGGCGAACGTCGTTTGGAAGCGGGAGCAATGGTCATGGCTGACCGTGGTGTCGTCTGTATTGACGAATTCGATAAGATGTCGGACAATGATCGTGTTGCTATTCACGAAGTCATGGAACAACAAACAGTCACGATTGCGAAAGCCGGTATTCACACCTCTCTGAATGCTCGATGCTCCGTCGTTGCTGCTGCCAACCCCATCTACGGCCAGTACGACCCCCACAAGGATCCTCACAAGAACATTGCCCTGCCCGATTCACTACTCTCCCGTTTCGACTTGCTGTTTGTCGTAACCGACGATATTGAGGATACGCGTGATCGTCAGGTTTCGGAGCATGTCCTTCGTATGCACAGGTATCGTCAACCTGGAACAGAAGAGGGAGCACCCGTTCGAGAGCAGGCCTCTCAATTCCTTGGCGTGTCTGCCGATACACAAGCTGGGACGCAGCGTCCAACCGAGGTTTTTGAGAAGTTTGATGCTATGCTACACGCTGGTGTTACACACACTTCGGGTCGAGGCTCCAACAAGAAGCCTGAGATTCTGAGCATTTCTTTCATGAAGAAGTATATACAGTACGCCAAGACTCGTATCAAGCCCATCTTGACTCAGGAGGCGTCCGACCGCATCTCGGAAATTTATGTTGGTCTCCGAAACGACGGGATGGAGGGTAATCAGCGCCGTACCTCGCCTCTTACTGTGCGTACGCTTGAAACTCTCATTCGTTTGGCTACTGCGCATGCCAAGTCTCGTCTATCAAACCGAGTGGAAGAACGCGATGCAGCTGCTGCCGAGGCTATCTTGCGTTTTGCGCTTTTCAAGGAAGTTGTTGTAGTGTCGCGAAAGAAACGCAGAAGAACCGCTACTGTCGACTTTGCTTCTTCAAGCGAGGACGATTCCGACGATGATGACGATGACGATGACGATGGTGCTGCTGACAGTGGCGCTAGACCGACGCCGAGTACTACACGCACAACACGTTCGCGCGGTGCGGCGTCCGGTGCGAACGTTGAGCACGGCAGCAATGGCGTCCATGACGAGGAGGAAGACGGGGGTGAAGGGGCAGAGGACGAAGCTGAATCTTTGGCTACACGACGTTCAGGAAGAACCACTCGATCGACCAATGCTGCGTCTGAGTCACAGACGTCGTTTGGTTCTTCGATGCCTGCCTCTCAACTGCCCAGCCAAACACAGGAAGATCAAGATCTGGCTAGTGGTGCTGCCTCTCTTGCTATCGATGATAGCCCAATTGCTGCTCCTCGTCTGGCTGCATTCAGAACGGCTCTTGGTCAGCTTCTCAACACTCCGCTGTTTGAGGACGATTCGGCTGGTCTCGAGGATGTCATTGGAGCTGTCAACCAAAAGATTGGAAATCGCAGCGGCGGTTCTTTTGAACGCGAAGAAGCTGTCAAGGCCCTCAAGAAGCTTGAGGAAGCCAACCACATCATGTGAGTTTATATCATTTCCATGTTCTACGAATGTGAGCTAATTTTTTCCACAAAGGTTTGCGGATGGTGAGCTTGTCTACAAGATTTAAGGATGCAATTTATGGTTTACTTGCTGCTTTCTGAATGATGAATATATGGCGTCAGGTGCATTCAACTCGAATGCAAGATTTTAATGAACCGGGTCCAACGTTAGATGAACGCTAATAAAGACGTATTAAAATGAAAAGCTTTTCAAGTGGATGCCGACTATGATGTGTCAAACAACTTTTATCAGCCGATAGGCTTCTAGTCATGACTGGGTTTCCAACACTGGGATTTTGAAAGATGAAACTCGTAAATCTTGCCACTTTGATATGGCGTCGTCACAGGCGCTCTTGAAACTCACGCAATCGGGCAAGTGGGTTCTCGCCGTTCCAGGTTTCTTCGCCGCCATCGTTTTGACGCAAGGTTGGGGGTCCGACCTGCTCAATGGCGAAACTTGCAGCGACAGTACCCCACACAGCTGCCGTTTCAATGTCTTCATCGCGAGCAAGTGCTACAGACAGGCCTCCGAGGAATGTGTTGCCGCCACCTGTCGGGTCTACCACTTTGGAAGCGTCCTGGTGATAGGCTGGGATCCATTTCTGGACGCCGGGGTCGACTTCGATTTCCTCCGAGTCAATAACGCCGTCGTCGCCTTGTAGCAGCCCCGCAAGAAGCGACTCCATGTCGGTATCGGGCTGCAGCGAGCCGTGGATGAGGGCCTTGCGGCGGGCCGACTTGACGCCCTGGGGCCTCTTGCGCTTGCGGCCGCCGTTCTTGGCGACGTAGCAGCCCTTTTCGCCGGCGCGCACGACGAGCGCGTACGACTGCAGCGGCATGCTGGCCAGCAGCTGCTCGCAGGCCTGCTCGACGGCGTCGGGGGAGATGGCGCCCGTCTCCGGGTCGAGGCCGTCGCCGCCGAGAAAGGCGGCGAGCTCGGCGTGGTTGGGGCTGCAGACGTCGACGAGGGGCAGGCAGTTTGTGCAGTTGAGCAGCTCGTTGGGGTGGCAGAGGTCCGGGACGGGCTCCCAGATGAACATGGGCTTGATGTAAGCGTCATCATGCGACGCGGTGGCGGCACGGCGACGGGCGGTGATGTCGCGGACTAGCTCCTGGCAGCGCAAGGGCGAGCAGATGAGGTGGAACGACTTGGACTGCAGCAGTGCCGAGTCGAGGTCCGCGCCGGTGAGGCGCCGCTTGGGCGTCGTGTACTGAAATGCGCGCTTTTGGTCCGCGCCGGCGTCGTAGCCGTTCCACCCGCGCGTCGTTAGGCGGCTCGCGTCGTGCCGGTACACTGCGTGCGTGTCCCACGTGTCGATGAGCTCGGCCAGCGCGGGCGGGAAATCGGAGCCCTTGTCAACGACCCATCCGACGGTCTTGGATAGCGGTGATGGCGATAAAAGACGAGCGCCTAGCGCCGAGTACGTGCCTGCGCCACCGAGAATGTCCTTGGCTGGAGGTGTAGGTGGGAGGAAGTCAATGTCATCTATGAGTGAGCGTGAGCAGGCAATTCGTCAAGGGAATAGCCGCAGAAAACCGCGGATTGCACAAGTGTACCAATAATGAACATGCCGAGTGTGACAAAGTCTATGGGTGTAGTTTGGACGTCTGTGTCGCCGGCGTCGGTGGCATTTGAGTGCGGTGCCATGTTGCTGCCCCCCCGCGTTGAATGGTGTCACGTCTTCTGCAGCGGCGCAATGCTCTGTGGCTCGGGCGATGCAGCGGCGCCGTTCAACTGAGCCAATTTGCAGATGGCAGCCCGCATTAACGGCTAACTTTGAGCTGAGCTGGTTCAGGCTTCTATGTAGACGTCAAAGTTGGGTGCAACAGAGCGGCGGTGAATGATGGAGGTCAAGTCGGGACTGCAGAAAAAGTCATGGTGCATTGGCTGTAGCCGTGCCCACTGTGTCGGCTGTTAACAAAAGGAATTGCATCCGCGCCGCAGGGTCAATATATCTTCTGGTCAATTTTCCTGATAATCAGTCAACATGTCAGAGGTTTTTCAGGCACACTTTGCATAAAGAAATTGAGATTCGCGAAAGTAGGTAGCCGTCCGATTGTACCACGTTTGCCGCTGTGGAGGACAAGGCTGGGCCGGTCAGGCAGCCATTACGATACCAGGGGCTTACTTAGTGCCGTCAGATAAGTACACCCCGGTATAAAAAATTGGCTATAGGTGTCCTTTTTATATGCTTTTTAAAAGACTGTTATATATTCAGTACTTATTCTTAAGAACTCTAATATAATATTTTAAAGATTACTTCCTGTTATATTATTTTCTAGAGAGTCTAACTTTCTACCGACATTTAGTTTGCAAAATAACATGATTATTACTTTAAAAAGGCAAAGGTCTGCAAGGAACAAAATAAGTTGCCCTTGGAGAGTTGACGCAGCTTGCTAAATGCGTAAAAGATGGTGTTATTCTTAATATTAGTAAGACAATATAGTTATATCAAGATCAAGCTACTTTCAGAGTGCTAGACCTTACTATATATTTAGGAAAGCGTAATGTTTTAACTCTTATATTTACTGTATAGCTATAAGTATATGCAAACTTTTCTCGTTGGCAAGTCCAAGCTCAAATATCGATCTAGGCGCACGACACCCATTGAAGCTTGAACCAGTTTAAGATTTCGCATAATCCTCCAGGATGGACTCGGCAATGCGCAGAGCCATGCCGTAGAAGATTGTCATGACATGAGAAGACACCTGGGTTGGAGGGATAGAGCCGTCAATGACACGCAGGCCCTGGGTGTCGTAAACCTTGGCAGCTGCATCAACAACACCACCAAGCTCTCTGGACATCATGGAGCAGGTTCCCACAGCGTGCCAGTTGGCGCGGAAGTTGTCCTTGACATATTCAGCCCACTGCCCTAAAGTTGCGTCCTCGGGCACCTCAGGGCCCGGTATCACCTCCCCGTCGAAATAGCTGGCCATTGCTCCGCTGTTTTGTAGCTTGCGAGCCAGCCTGGTCGCGGCGGCCTGTCCGAGAAGATCGAGCTCGTTGAAGAGGAATTTTGGGTCGTTGGCAAACTGCCAGCGATAGGGCTCGCTGCTGAGGATATGGGTAGAGCCGCGAGTAAAGGGAATGAGATCCCACAAGTCAAAATTTATTTGCCCCGAGGTGTCCAGAAAGAGCTCAGAATATGCCACGTCCTCATGAAGCAGCCAGTCGCGGTAATTCTCGTATTGGATCTTGAGTGCAGTGACGTTGTGGAAGCCGCCGCGCGCGACAGTCTCCTCGGCCCATTGGTCCATCTTGGTCTCGAGCAGCTCTGTGGCATACGCAACGTCTTCTCCAAAGGTCTCGGTAAAGTTGGCAAAGTAGATAGCCTGGCCCTGCCCAGCACCAGCGGACGTGCTGCGCGCGCGGACAGTCGTGGTAGTCTGGTCTTGCATGTTGATGCCGACAGGCAGCTCTACCAGCTGGGTGACGTTGGCCTTGTCAAGGACGGACTTTAGGCCAATGCCAGAGTACTCCAGGATCAAAGGCGAAATTGAAGAGCCGGCGGCCAGCAAAACCTCATGCTTAGTGTAGGCATTAAAGTTGACAGCCTTGTTGGTGCCAAAGTTAACTCCAATTGCCTTTAGTATGGGAGCTTTTTGATCAAAGAGAACCTTTCCCACAGCGTGTCCGGTCAAGACCTTGAGGTTCTTGCGACGGTAATTAGGAAGCAGCCATTCACGGGCTGCATCAGCGCGCACTTGGTCCTCGAGAAGGTTGTTGGGGATCATGGACACGCCACGAGGGTGGCCACAGTTAAAGTCCACCTGGGTTGGGACGCCGAGGGCAGAAGTGGTGTTCATAAGTGCCTTCATCAGCGGAGACCAAGGTTGGCCGTTGTCGCGAGGCCCAGAGTGGACGGTGCCGTTGAATCCGTGACAAGCCGGGTCAAAGAAATGGCCCGCGGCAACCTGGACTGCAGTTGGGGCACGGGCACGCTCAGCCCGATTCATGTAGGGCAATATGTTGTCCCAGGTCCAGCCCTCGTTGCCAAAGACCTTTTCCCAGGAATCAATCTGGACCTTGTCCGGACGGGTCCATGAGTTGCCGTTGATTAGCGTAGAACCACCGAGACCTTTTCCAGACTTGATGTTGTCGGTACGGTTATTGATGAGAGGCACAGTGAGATAGTTGTGGTCAACAGTGGTGCCAAAGACTTCACCGTATCTGTTTGGATTCTTAATCACAGGTCCGCTATTGGACTCGTAAAATCCCGCCTCAATGACCAGGACCTCGATGTTGGGGTTCTCTGTCAGCTTGGCGGCAACAGTCAGGCCGGTCAAGCCGCCACCCGCGATAATGTAATCAAACGTCTTGTCGGCGACATCTTTCGGGTCGATGAGTAGACTGGCTTGAACATCGATTTGCTCAGATACCAGGTAGGCGCCAGTAGTGGCCAGAAGCCAACCACAGAAGATAAAAAATCTCATGGCAGTCTCACAGGAAGCGTCGGGAGGCTGGTCAGGAAAAGGCAGCGATTGAAGCGTAGTCAAGATATTGTCTTTCCCGCATTTATAGGAGCGAGACAGGCAGTCTGTAACATGGCTCACAGTAATAGACTTTGTACTCCAAACAATAGGGCCGATGAGAAGATACGGTCATGCCAAGAGGATCTTGATTCAGTTTGAACGATAAGGTCAAAGGACCGAAGTCTAGTGGATATACATCAAAATACCAATCCCACAAAGAGTTTAGTAATGGCTCTATCTAGAATAGTAAATGAGGAGTCGATGAGATCTATCTGTTTTCTCTGCGTTGAGGTGATTTCTGGATTTTTCAGCTGGACGAATCGGAGAGTACCTTGAGAGTTGTAGGATGTCTTTTTAAAGATTCAAACAAGCTTAGTGAGAGTCCCATAGTGCTTTGCGGGCATAATTACTAAAAGGAATCATAGTAGCACGAAACGATGTAACGTCATGTATTCGCCATCTTCCTTGACCGACTCGTTGGTCCCCACACGATGAATATTAATTCGCTCAACTTGATTCCTCAAAGGACTCTTGTAGTCTCCGTTTTGAGTGCCTATTGTACTTGATTCAGGAACTGATACTCTACGATAGTAGATCGAGCGGCAGTGAAGGAGCCTAGGACTGGTTACTCAGAGCGCAGGATGCCTTCCTGGCAAGGGATCAGAGGTGATGGCAGCAATGCCGACCAAAGCACTAAATTTACAGTAGAACGTCAGCTGCAAAATGAAGTCAGCCGAATAAAGCGTGAAGGTGCGAGTTGCTGTACTCATAGGTAAATTTGTCATCATCCTCTGGCTAGCTGCAGGTTGAATCAACTGTCAGGCAGGCACCACACAGGGGGCACCCACTCTTCCATACTAATACACTGTCATCTATCAATTATCTCCGTTATACCAATGGCTCGGCGATAACAAACAACGGCCCGCCGGAAAACCCGGCAACTTGTAAAAAGCTACTGTAGCGACACTAGCAAGCGACTCAAATCTAGGATGCGCTGACTAATCGACGATAAAGACTGTTTTTTATTTTTAGAAAATGACCCAAGTCTCTATATTCTCGTATCAAGGTTGTAAATCCGTATATACTTGCCAACATACTTATCTGACGACTGAGAGCAAGGCATATATATTACGTCTTGTGGCGCAAGCTAATGCTGGTCTTGGCAGCCGAACTAAAATAGGTAGCCCATAATTGAAAGTTTTAATGCATAATTTATACACGACAGAATTCTTGTTATAGTGAGCATCATCTCGAGATGGTGCCAGTCTGTGCCACAAGTAGAGCCGAGATCTGAAAGCTTTTTACGCAATTGCATAAACCCTACGGATCAGGTTTGAAAAGCAACATACATCAACCTCCGTCATAACCCACCCAATTCCACAGACCTGCTGCGCCTTCTATCATTTAGCTTTGTCTCATTAATTGTGCCAACCATTCAAAATATGCTCGTAGTGAAAGCCCTAACAATATGCACGCTTTGAACTTGAAAGACCCTTCTACCGCTACACAGGACTGGGAAAAAAGTAAGACTAGATCTTACATTTTCTGACATCAACCTACTGTCGTCCACGAATGGCATCAAGGCCGCCAGCGAGGTTCTACACCATGCTAGTCTAGCTTTTATGAGCGACTAGTTTACCTAAGGGGAGTCATCTGTTCGAGAAGGTGTTTTTCTTTGGGAACGTTGTTGCTCAAACCAGCACCGGAACCGAAAGATTGTTAGCAAGCGGCCAATTTCGCGGGGCAGACGCTTTACTCACTCTGTCTTGCTTTCTTGGAAATAATAACCCACCTGCTAATATAGAAATTCTATTCTGATTCGCTAGTTCTGATGATCTACAATATCGCAAGTTTCTTGAGAAGAATGACGCTAAGTGCTCTGGCGGGAACAGTCAAACTTACTGTAAATTGATGAGCGTACCTATTCAACTTAACTAATTAATTATATCTACTTAGCAGCCGCGGCAGCGGTAGCAGCAGGTAGTAGGGATATATAGAATAGTAAGATATATTATTTCTTTAAAAAAATACCTCTCTTTATATAGGAGATATACTAGAAACTATATACCTTTAACAGCTCTATATATACTATTACGTGAGGCTTGTCTACGTAGTATAAAAGGGTCGTCTACGTAGCACTACTCTTTTATAATCACCTATCGGTCGCTAAAAACCGTATGCAAAAACATAATCGTGCCGAGCACTGCTATTCTCCTAACTACAAGCATGAAGCTATCGCCACCTACTACCGGGCTGTTTCGTAACCGCTATTTGGAGTAGTAAAACCCAAGCAACCCTTCTCGAAACTTCTCGGGACTTTTGGAGTAATCCTTCAAAATGGACGCCGTCAAGGGGCTAACTGAAGCGCCACTCTTGGACACATCGCTAACATAGGAAACAGTAGCGCTACCATAATCGCCCGTCTTCGCATACTCCATAGCACGGTCAACAGTGACCCTCTCCTCCGGAATCAACGACTTATAAATCTCCTCCTGTCGTTCCGAACCTATCCCACGAGTTAGTCTGGCCGCAAACATCGGGTTTCATACCCGGATCCGTTCAACATACTAAGTGCCATGGCGCCTGAACCGAGCCAACAACAGCTGGCGACAGTAAACCTTGTCGCTGTCTCTCGACTGCACAACACACGTTTGGAAAGAAAAAAAGGCACGCTGTCCCCGCGCGACCAAGACAGAGTACGCTGAGAAACTTTGCAAAGTTCTCCTAACAAAGCGATACCACGCGGATAAAGTTTAGGACCAGTCCAAAACAATAGCCAAGGCCGAGAGAAATGCAGCGCCTCCGATGTTCAAGTTGTTTGCTCACTCTGTTCGACAGTCGTCAATGTGGAAGAAAGGAAGGTAGTTGCAACAAAACACACAGGGTCCCCGTCCTCCCTTATATACCCGCAAAGTCTCCGACAACTATTCAAGGAGAAGGGCTAGCGCACCTGACCGAGATGACGGGGGTCAACGGATTGAACACAAAGGACACGTCAACGGGTTGCGTACTGGTCAGTCAGACTTGAACCTGTAAACATACCTTATCTGTTGTCCGGGAGGAAACAGAGGATGGTGATGCGGCGACCCGTCCGTTGATTGGTCTTGAGTGGTTTGGGAACCGATTGTGTTTCGTGTGGTGGCTGCTTTTACCCCGGTAGGGCGCTTACGTGACGAGCTAGAAAAGTGCATGTGTCCCTTTTGTTCGGTTTCCCTTATGTTTTCCTTTACTCATTCAACACGGTTAGCAGCGAAGCGTCTTCCTACAGGCAGTAGTTGGAGCGGGCGATTGTTATTGGGGAGCATCGACTCTTGTGTTTTGCGCTTTGGTATTGACCCTTGCTCTGCGGTAGCAGGAACGGTAACGTGAACCTGTGCATCGGCGAGATGAGTTTTGAGGTTTGTTTCCTGTTTGTGTTTGTGACGACGCGGAGCGGGCGACGAAGTTGGCTCGTTGGATCGAGGGTGAGCTGGTGCGAGTAGGAGTGGACATCTTTCTTACGAGAAGACTGAATCATGGGTTGGGTCGCCGCTGATTGTGTTGGCAGCGAGGGTCTCGGGCGGAACTAGGTTCTGCCACGTATGCAGACCTGTTTGGGATGAAAGCACAGTACGAGGAGTTTTTACGGGAGTTGTTGAGTGTGTATCCGTGTACCATTCGGTCGGGAAAGCAGCGGGATCTCTTGGAACCGTACGGGGTGGACGAGACGGCATGCTGCGTTTGCATGTAGGGAGTTAACTTGGTGCACGTTGCGTGCGCGTGGAACGTCAGTGACGGAGGAGGGAGCATAGTGAATAGAATATGGATGTGTGCACCTGGCTACCACTAAAACCTCAGTAACAGTGTCATCTGACAAGCAAACAAGACTAGAACCCCCCCCCCCCCCCTTTGGCCAGAATATGGAAATAAAAAGCGTGGGGCACCCGGAACGGAGTGAATGTGACCTAAGTGAAGCGTAGCGGAACGTCGTTCAGGCATCTCGAACCAAGTACTACCAACCAAACACCACGAGAAGAATGACCAAGAAGAAACAACAAAGAACAAGGCTACAGACAAACACGACGGGAAGGAGTGTACTACCCAACGACTAGGAGGGAGTGGATACCTTGACTAACGGGAAGTACAAATAATGATATATAAAGATTATAGATATACTACTTGTGCTCGCCCCCACTTTAGCCGCGATTCCGGCCAGGCAAGCTAGCTCTCATCACACTCTCTTAAAGAGGGTACTCCCCACTAAATTCAGCACACCATTAATCTTATCAGGTACCTTTCCTACTAAAATAAGTATATAAGATATAAATACACTTCTATATATATCTTACTAATATTAGAATATATAGGTATAAGAATTAGGAATAGAGCTAATAGCTATTATATATCTTATAATCTAGCTTTAAAAATAATATTTTCTTTATTATTACTAAGTTACTTTTTTTAGATATAAAATTTATATATAAATACTAGTTAGTTTTAGTAGTATATTAAATTGAGTAAGAAGTACCCTCTTTAAATAAGTATAGTAAGAGCTAGCTTATCTAGCTAAAATTATAGCTAAAGTAGGGGTAAGTATAAGTATAATCTAGTAAATTATAAAAAGATTAACTATAAGATTAATATAACGTGGTTAATAAGCGAGTAGCG